TTATATATATATATATCAGTTTGAAGATTAATATAGACGTCAGTATGAGCATTACATTATGCTTTTTAACATTCTATTACATTAAGTTATTAGTCATTATTATATATTATAATTCTTTTATAAATTTATTATAATTATTCTAAATAATTATTATGTAATGCACTATAATTATATTGTTATTTTATTATTAATTATATTATTATTTATTACAAATTATTTACTATTATATAAGATATTAGTTAGTTATATTATACTTAAGTATTAATATGAATATTCAAATTACAGAACTGAAATCATATGTCTGCGTTTAGAAATTCAAGTCACTTAAAATATGGCGTTGTTTTCTCAATGAAAAATTCCTTATATATGATTAAATTTAATGTTTTCCACGGGTGATGCAAAAATTTTGCCGCTGTTCTAAAAATGGTTACAGCACGTGATCAAGCACGAAGCAGTAATTTAAGCAAAAGTAATTTCTATTAAGCAAAAAATTTATACCGGGTGATTTGTTTATGTTTATCATTTATTTTGAGGATAATAAACAATTTATTCTTCACTTAAGGTTGTTAAAGTAATATCAATAAAATCGTGAAGAAACTTCAAATAATAAGCATGAAAATATAAGTCTCTTTAAACCAAGTGTTAAACAAATGACATGGATCAAAATTCGAGTTAATTAAAAATTGTAAAGAAAGTAATTTCAAATAAAAAAAATCAATTTAATCAGAATCTATAAACAAAGTATGAGTAACATTGATTATATAAAAATGAATTACTTACCACAACATTGCTAATATAAAAAGTAGAACCGGTATCCAAATGCAAGACAGGGAAGGTCGACAAACAGCGTGGATAAGATTTGAAATGCTTTATATACAACGAAAATCTGTTCCACCCCTTTAGCCTAGTTTCGTATCTACGAAGTCAAATAATTTTCACTCTCAGTTATTTCCCTTGTTTAGAACCATTTTGTGCTTTCTATTTTAAAGGAGAAATTTTTCACGTCGTTCTTAAGTAACCATGCGTAACGGATAAAAGAATTTCCGAAATTACGGATGCTTAAGACGGATTCTTTCTTCCTGCTTCTTACTCGGTTTGCATATTGATTATTACTTCATTTACCTCCTCAGACTTTAATGAATTACAGTAAATGTCATTTTTATTTAAAAATGTATAGCTTAGAAGAAAGTAAACTCGGAAACGCGACAAGATATTTTTAAAAAAAAATAATTACTAAAATTTAAACTTATTTTTCTGTTACTTTTAATTATTATTTAAGAAATTATAAATTTTTAACATTAAGCATTTTTTTTATTATTGCAGAATATTTTTATAAAGCATTTCTTTGCATTTTGATCGAAAAATTGTGTCAATAAGCGTTAAATTATTGCAGTAAAAGCAATTTTCACTTAGAAATATGCAACTTAGAAGAAAATAAACTCAGAAATGCGACAAAATATTTTTTTTTAAAAATTTCAATTATAAAAATTAAAAACTAATTTTTTTGTTATTTGTAATTATAATTTAAAAAATTATAAATTTTAATTTTTAGCAAATTTTTAATATTGTAGGAAATTTTTATAATGTATTTCTTCGCATTTTGATCATAAAATATTAACCATGTGACCTCAAGTATAAAATAAATATAGAAAATGCAATTTTTACCTAGAAATATTTGTATCTTAGAAGAAAGTGAGCTCATAAATATGATATTGTTTTTTAAAAAATATTAAGTTAAACTTAATAATATTTTTCTAGTTATTTTTAATTATTGCTTAAAACAAGGATACATTTATAGTGTATATCTTTTCATTTTAGTCATGAAACAAAATTCACTAGGCTCAAATTAGAAGATATTTATATGCTATAAAACTATCCGAAAAGTTACTTCAATCGAATTTTTTACCTTTCTTATAATTTTTCATTGTAATTAAAAACTCTGACCATCGAGGGTAAATCCAATTATATTTTTGCATAGACAATAGCCTTGTAAAAGCATACAAACAGAAAAAAAACGCTAAAATATTATTTTGTAAGTGACAAAATTGTAGTAATTGTTGTCCAATATATTGGATGCTGGGCCTCGGGAGGTTAAAATAAAACTTGACCACACTAATATGATGCTTTATTTTATTTTTATTTATGTAGTATAAAATAAAACACAATTAAGAGATCCAACCAGTATTGCCATTTATATATGTCGATTATGATTTTGCAATTTACTTTTTCTTTCTTTAATTCGTCATGATTTTACTCTAATTTATGAAAAATTAGGATGATTTCATGCGTAACTGACCGGCAGTATTTTGTAAATGCTACAAGCGTTTCCCCACGTTTGTAGAATCTAACGATATTGTCGAATTTCCAAAAAAAAAATTATAGGGTAATTTCTGAAAATTTGGTAACTGCATTAGAAGTTACACTGATTCAAAAACAGATTCATCTGAAATTAAAACAATGAATTTTATGCAAATTTACATTAGAACACACTGTATAACGCATAAGCTAACGGCAATGATATTTCAATTCTAAAATATTGCTAAAATAAAAAATAGTGAACAATTGCAATAAAATGGTAACTGGCTGACGGTTCTTAACTGACTAACACATAGAAATCATAGGTATACTAGGCGCTCAAATGTGTATCAAATTTCTCAATTAAGATGCCCTTGAAATAATAATCATTGAAAAAGTAATCATTGAAATTGTCTAAGTCACTAGGGAAAAAAAAAGTAAAAGAGACATTTAAAAAATTTATAATTTATTGAAATGTAAACCCAGAGTATGTAAATAAACTTAATTATTTTCAACAAAATAAAACTGCCAATTTTTTAAAGAACATTTAAATCAAGCATAAATAATATTTTAATCTTGTTGGTGGTATTCCTCTTCATTTAAAAGAAAACTAAACTCAGTGTCGTGACAGCCCATAGAGATTTTCCAGTTGGGTGGTGAGCTGGAACTCCCAGTGTTTAGCCCCCAATCATGCTTTGTGCTCATGTACCCACTGAAGGGATGAGTCAACCTTGCTCGGCCCGAGGATTGAACCCAGGACCTGCAGCTTGACAGCGTTACCACTCTGCCACCGGTTGTCAGCATTTCTCTTCATTTAACTACCCTGATTTTTCCTAATTAAGTCATTTTAAAATCGTGCTATAGTCACCAGAAAATTTTTTCCACCAGACAAATATATACCTATTAAAATGTTTTGTTTCATAATTAGAATAGTAGTAATATATTAAAGGTTGTAGTGTCACCTTCAGGAAGGAGAAAGAGGCACCTTCCCAGATCCACTCGTTTGAAGGGGTACATGTTCTAATATGTTGTACTAGAGTACCTTATTGAGATCACGACCATGTGAAGTTAGGCCGTTACAGTTAGGAAGACTCATTTCATAAATGTTACGATGGGCGGTGAAGGGTGAAATCACGGTCCTGAAGGAGTTAGTCACTGATTAGCCTTTTGCTGGATGCCTTGGGCTATAACCCTCCTTTCTGTAAGTCACTGGAAGTATTTCGAAAAATTTAATTTCATAATCAGAATAGTAATATTGGATTTAAAGTTACAGTGTTACCTTTAGGAAGGAGAAAGAGGCGCCTTCCCAAGTCCAGGCATTAGAGTATACCTACTAAATAGTAGGTATACGTTCCAATACGAGATGTTATACGAGAGTATCTTATTGAGATCACGTCCGTGTGAGCTTGGGCCGTTGCAATCAGGAACTCGTTTCATAAATGATACCATGGGCTGTGAAGGGAGAAATCACGGTAGTGAAAGAGTTAGTCACTGATAAGTGTTTTGCTGGGTGCCTAAGACTATAACCCTCCTCTCTGCAAGTCACTGGAAATATTTCGATGTAGAATCAAGCACATAGAACATTTCCATTTTTTTTTATATTTTTAAAGTCAAAGATTGTTTTAAGCGAACTTTTAAAAGTGAAATTGAACTTAATAAGAACTATTTACTTGAACTCTGAAATATTTAAGAATCAAGCCATTGATACCGAACATTGAAGTCTTTGATTACATTCCTGAAAATTAAAATTAGAGTTCTTTAAAAGCAATTTAATAAAAGTTTATAAACTAAGTTAAGTGCAATCTGATATAATAGATTTACGGAATCAAGGATACGTAAAAAATATGAACAGTTAAAATATTATGGAAAAGTATGAACTTTTTCATTGAACATTGTCATTTTAAAATTATTTAAAATTTCAATCAATTTCCAATATGTCAGGCTGTTACCATATATAAATTCAGTCAGTTACCAATGAATTTTCTGAGTTCTTGATGAAAACTTACAATTCTATTTATTTAGTAATTAAACAATGTTAATGTAAGCAAAGAATACAAATTATGAAAAGTTTCCGTCGAAATTTTTTGTGTTGAGTGCAAAAATTTTTTTCTTAGTGTATCCTCTGGCATTTTGAAGTGGATTTATAATAGCTTCATTATAAATCCACTTCAAAATGCCAGAGAAGTGGAAATATGATGATAAATAGTCTTACCAGTTCAAATTTTGCAAGTGGACTTCATAATACCAGAAGTTTTTGACCTAAAGTTAAACTATTCTTTTGATAAAATATTTTATATTTGCAGAACTGAAAAGTTAAAATAAAGAATACTAACGAAAACTGATAAAAGGTGAGATAGATATCTAAAATATTCCAAAAGTTATAGAAAATTACAGAGAGGTTTTGGAAGCACAGGAAACGTTTCAAAAATATTTCTAAATACAAGATCGTTTCAAAATATCAACAACAAAAAATTCCGAAACTGCTGGAAACGATTCCAAATATTTCTGAAATACTGGGAAACGTTTCATTATATTACAAAAAGAGATTTCCGAAATATTTAGAAACATTTTTGAAAATTGCATGGCTCGTAGTTGCCCCTTAAATTCAGAAACGTTTCTGGATTATTTTTTTAACAGTATATGAAAGGAAAAATTACTTAATTAATGGTATACCGTATATTTACCGTATATATACCGTATACCGTATATACCGTATACCGTATTGGTTTTATTAACCAGAATTATTTCGTTTTTTGAACATTCATCAGAAATTTCATTACTATACAGTACTGTAGTTTGACCAGAACTCTTTTCTCCATGTTACAATTACAGTTATAAGTAAAAAAAAATTTTAATTGACCATATATATATATATATATCTAATTAAGTCATTTTAAAA